GTCAGAGCTTTAAATCCTAGTGATGGGTCTCAAGCCACACTCTACTAGGCATTTGATCATAAGTGCGTGATAGTGTGACATTCACCCGAAAAAAATGATTTAAATAAATATAAATAATACGTAGTATAAAAATTAAAGAGTACTTATCTTTTGGAGTTGGTTGGGCCGAAATGTTGGGCTGCTTGGGCTGAAACATGTTGCTGAAAGTAAGCCCATCCTCATTCGTTAGTTTCAATGTTGGTCTTGATATAGTCTTGGCCCACTAATTTTTGACTCCATGTTAGAGGCCCAATTGTCCAAGTTAGATGCATTTGCAGCCAGCTCTTCAAGACCTAGGAGATGCGGAGCCGCGGAGGAAGCTGATAAAAAACAAACGAATTTCCAATCAGCAGGAGATGCTCTCAGCCGCCGGGAAGCTGAAACGGTGGAACGCCTAGGGCGAGGCTGGCGACGCCGTGGTGGAGGTGGCGGAGAAGTTTGTACCTCGCCGCTGGCCGCTGTTCTGGTGGGTCTCGGTTTCTGGTCTGACAGGGGAGCTCGAGGGTGGTGTCGCTGGTTGTCCCCACGAGCTTCAGAGCGCCATTAATTGCGGCAATGGCGGTGTCTCCAATCGGCAAGATCTCTCAGGCAACCTTGAGTCTTTGACGAACTGGTAGAGCGTGACTGGGGTGCTCTGAGAGACTGGTTCCGGAGCTGTGACTGCGGTGGTTGAGGTGAGGAGGCAGGCTTCGAGCGTCTTTCGGTGGCTCTGTAACAGAGGCAGAAGAAAATATCTGCAAGCAACGGATCTGCAGCGGCGAGATCTAGAACGGGCGGCGAGACCCAGTAGCGGCGGCGGAGCAGCTTCAGCTTATTGTGGACGGCGGCGACCAAGATCTGGAAATGGGTGGCGAGCTCCAGTGGGCGGAAAACTTCTGTTATGCCGCGTGACGGCGGCCGCGAGTTAGGCTTCGTCGCGAGCGAGACGGCGGAGACCGTACCTCGCTGGTGGTTCTCCGGGTCGCATGTTCGCTGCGGAGCATGACCCTGCTGTGGCGTCGCCGCTGGTGGTGGGCTGGGCTCCGGCAAGGTTGTTCCGTTGACCGTAACGGATCCGGTCGACCGATGCAGGTGGCTTGCAGTGGCTGGCGAGATTCGTGGCATCAGTGTCCTGCCGGCGGCAGGGGTGCTAGACCAGAAGTTGGGCGGCATGACCTGGGACACCGTTGTGGGAGTTGCTCCGGCCAGATCTGCGAAATCCTAGTTTTTTCATAGCAGATCCGTTCTTGCTGTATCATTTTTTATTTTTCCAGAACAGTTTTTTGTGATTGGGAAGAATTTTTGGTTAATTGGGAGGTTTTCTCACTTGATTGTGTTCAACCTCTCAACGAGAGCACCATTGTTGGATAATTGATACCCATATTGTATAAACAGGAGAAATTGAACAAGAATCAAAAGGAGTAATGGAGAAGAAGAAGAAAATGTGTAGGATGAAATAATATTTGTTATATGAGTTACAAGCCTCCTATAAGGAGTATATATAGGGAAAATCCGGGTCTGGGCCTCTAATATGGGCCTGACAGACCCGGTTACATAAATGGACTGATGGTATAAAAAGCTAATCTAGAACATCTGAATAATAATAATGTACAATAATATTAATGATATACGCTAAACGTGTGTGGGCCGCTGTCCAGGCCTAGTAGTCGGCATACCGGGGGGTCCGAGTCCATATAATCCATCACAGTCCAACCAATTTCATGTTGTAAGTTTCATGTTCGATTGCAAATGCGATGAGAGATTACTATACAAAATGCACATAGCTTTTCCAAATCTTAGGCCATAGTCTCCGTGATTAATTAAAATTCTATTTACATACCCTCAATTAACTGTGGGGAACGTGTAAATTGACAATACAGACTAGTTCATATGTTTTCTGGAAAAGTATTAGCCTATTAGGGTGTGGTGGATGGCGGCTGGTCTGGTGGTGGCTCCTCCCATTGGAGGTAGCATTGAAAGGGAAGGAAGGGTTGCTGTCTTTCAGCGTGTTGTCCCCATCATACAACACAATTCGCTGTTGATAAATTATGTACTCCCTATTATTTAACACAGAAAGCTAAGAAAGAGATGGAGATGAAAAGGTGGAAGCCATAAAGTCTTAACCAAACCGCGCACATGACTTCCCACATTCCTCTTTTTCTATTTCTGTTGAAGCCCATAGGTTCATCACCTTTCTATAAAGTGAATTTGCATCATATATCTACCTACTGCCCTTCTTCCCAAGTCCTAAGATCTTGTTTAGAAGAGTGCAACTACTGTGGTGTTTCAGACATTGAATCCTTCTTGGTGTACACCCTGGGATACACCCCATTTATTTGCCCTTCACACAGACAAAAAACATGAAAACACGGACACTTTCAATTAAACTGTCGGTGTGAGTTTGCGGATCTGTTAGGCTAGTTGCACGCAAACCAATGTTGGTATGCACAGACACTAGTTCTCTGTGTAGACAAAAAAGTGTCGGGGCGAACAAAATTGGTTTGCAAGTTCAGGGGGTTGAGAAACCAGTGTCGGTGTACACAGGCATTAGTTGTCGGTGTAGAAAAAAGTTTCTGTACATATGCAATTTTCGTCGGTGTAGAAACAAAAGTGTCTGTGAATATACAATTTTCGTCGGTGTACACAGACACTGAAAGCAAATCAGTGTCGGTGTGCATAAAACGTAAAAAGAGAGAAGGAAAGAAAACCGACGAAAATTGTATATGTACAAACACTTTTTTCTACACAGACAACTAATGTCTGTGTACACCGACACTAGTTTCCCACCCCCCTGAACTTGCAAACCAACTTTGTTCGCACCGACACTTTTTTGTCTATACAGACAACTAGTGTATGTGCATACCGACATTGGTTTGTGTGCAACCAGCCTGACAGATCTGCAAACTCACACCGACATTTTAATCGAAAGTGTCTGTGTTTTTACGTTTTTTGTCTATGTGAAGGGCAAATAAATGGGGTGTACTCCGGGGTGTAACCCAAGGTGTGCCTTGAGAATTTTCCTTCAGACATTTTAATGGGTTATTAGAGTCCAATAAAGGAAAATGATGGAACTATCTCCACTTACAAATGGAGAACTAGGACTAAAATGCACTATTGTATTTTTTTTTTTTTGAAAAAAAAAAAGAATCTATGAAAGTCGTTTAAGAGCCCATTTTCTGATATTGGTTAAAAGGTTGAAATTGATCAAATTCTAGTTGAAATGATTAAATATGTTGACTTAAATGAAAATTAGATTTTAAATATATTTTATTACTAGTATTAAAATAAAGTAAAATATTATATGGAAATCATCTAAAATGATCATCTAAAGTAACTTTAATCAGATAAGTAACTCCAATCTTATTTATTTTGTTTATCACACAATTTGGTGCGCGAAATCAAAAGTTATATGTTTGGTGAAAATGTTGACTGATAAGCTGAAAAGCAGGATTCCTAAATCGTCTAAACGGGCTTTAATCCTGCTGAATCCATTGAGCTTGGTGAAATTTTGGCTGAATTGATTATATTGAATTTACTGAATTATGGAAAATAAATATTTAAAATGTGTTTGTTAATAATTAAAGGAAAAAATATGTGCAAAATAGCTAAAATTGTTATCCTCGGCAATTTCAATCATATCTGCTCAAGAAGTAACTTTGAGTATTTAACCTTGCTTATTTAATTTGTAACACATTTTAACATGTAAAATCAAAATTGCCTGTTTTATAAGAATTTGACCGATAAACTAAAAATATGAGCTATCAAACGGGCTCTAAATTGAATGTTTTCCCAACCTACTTTTAAAAAGTGTCATAAATAGAACTATAACATGAATGAGCAGTCGTCCAAAACGTTTTTATTTGGACTTTATTAATCTGTCGATTTCGATTTATTTCATATAGGAAAATGTCACTTTATTGACATTCCATTTATCAAATGTTTTTGATTTGTTTGCCAATTGATGTCATTTTTATGAAACAATATGTAATATGGTAGTATCAACTCTATCAAGTCTGGAAAAAAAGTTTGATTTTTCATTTTTTTTTTGCTTCTCAAATTTAACATTTTTCAGGGAATCTGATAATTACATTTTTTTTACATAAGTTTGATTTTTCAATTTTTTTTGCTTCTCAAATTTAACATTTTTCAGGGAATCTGATAATTACATTTTTTTTACATAAGTGCCACAGTATGAATTCTCAAAATGCCCTTATTTTTCTTCTAAAACTTCCATATTTTTTGCATATTAAAATGTCATTGTTATGTCATTTTCATATCAAGATGACATGATTGACATATTTGCTTAAAGTCTGCAGGTACTCACTGGACAATGGTGCTTCGTCAACAATGGCGGTGGCGAACTCGCTAGATCAGAGGGCGCAATCCCCGACAGATTTGCTCGAGGGCAGGAGAGCCCTAATCCCGTCACTTCTGGCAATCGTGTCGTCAAAGTCTGGAAGAGCACAGAGCTCATGAAGCTCGAGAAAGTTTCATTTTTTCGCTTAAGGGTATCGACTTACATTTCTTCTATGTTTTAATCCTGTTTAAAAAATCTCTCATAAGTTTACTTCTTTTGAACAATTGTGATGTATTTGAGTATGTTTGTTCAATCTTTTCTCATCTTGTTTTATTTTAAATTTCTCATGTAGAGAGTTAGGGACTAGAGAGTAGAGACTAGAGAGTAGTACGTGATATACAGAACGTGCAATTTTAGAATTGAATGAAATTCCATGACTTCTCTCATTTGTCTCACTCGCACTGTGTGAGAGTGAGACTTTAAGACTTAAAAGTCTCCTATTAAAAATTATATAAATACAAATTTAATTCTGGGAAATCCAATCAAAAAAAATCAAAGTTCTTTACGGAAAAAGGGGCATTTTTTACACCACTTGTCATACATCTAATGAACAGTTGAACACAAACATCTTATCTGGATAACTCAATTAAAAAGTACATTGTTTGCTCTTCATCCATAACATTATTTGTTTTAGATCCATGTACTTTTGCTTAGCTCATTCATATTACACTGATTACTCTTTTAGCCCGTATCAAAAACATATTGGTACTACTATCAGAGTTCAATCTAGCATATCATTTTTGTACAGCTCATCAGAAGCACTAATGGAGCTAGAAATGTAGAACTGAACAAAACTCACAAATCCAAGTTTAATTCTTGCTTCTATGATTCTCTGGACTCTGGTATAACATCTTATATGTTTTCAAAATACAAAATGACGTAAAAATTGAAGAATAAAGTTGTGCTACACTACAATTTTTTATAGAACTTGGAGTTTGACGGAGAGTTGAGTGAAACTGCAAGAGAAATAACGTATGCAGAAAATTAAAACATAGAAGTAAAAAGAACAAATTTTAGATGCACTTAAAGTAAAAGATAATATACAAAGCATGTGACGTCATTGATGTCATTGATGGACTTTGGTTAAAAATCAAAGACGGTTTTTGTATAACATGGGAAGACACTTAAATAGTATTCCATCGTTCCTGCTTGATACTATCATATTTGTTTACCGCAAAACAATGCTCTAATAAATTATATATACCTGCTCTTGAGGTTTAATCCTAAAGAGAACTACAAAAGCTGTGGTAATTACAGTAAGAATTGCATATCCAGACCACAAAGATGTTCAGACTAATTGGAACCTCTATTTACCTTTTTGCGCATTGTAAAGTTATAGTCCTTCACAGCATCTCAAAAATCTGTATTCGTAAATAAAAATATTAAAATACATCAGGATCATTGCCAAAGTATCTGCATTACAGCATAGATCATATGAGCACAGTAAATTCTATTTGTAATTCCATATTTTACATGTTTTTTACCCAAAGCTAACTTGGCTATATTCACGCACTTGGATACATATCAAGTTCTACCTTAGCCCCCCACAATATGGGAAAGCGTCATATATGCCCTCTGACTTTCAAAGATTCGTCAATTGCATGATTGCATCCTCTAACACAGTCTCTAATTGAGAGCGTTAAGTCAGAAAATGGCGATGTATTAAAGTATTTTTCACCTATTTAAGATGTGGTAAGTACGGATTTATGCCAATTTGTTATCCACATAACAACAATAATAACAATTAACAAAGATGTGTTTTTATATATCACCATGATACAACAGGAAAAACAAGAGCACACTGAGAAAATGAGAACCAGCATAATATACAGAAAACACTCCACTGTCATCAATCTTTCATCTATAAACTAGGAATTGAGAAAACAAGAAAGCTTTTTATGCTCCAGCAGCCTTCTAGCTTTTAATTTTCAATTCAAAGCCTGAACAGAGGGAACCGTTTCAGAACCTAAATGCTTTAATTCCTCTAAAGCCTTGGTATCCTTGTTACCCTCATTATTCTTTTATGGATTATTAGGTAAATGTATCTCCAACTATCATCATATTCACAAATTTATCCCATACTTTCACTTTTATAAAAAAAAGACTCAAACTTCAACTTTTCTCACAGTTACACTTTCAATGGATGAATTAGTAAGACTTAAGAAGAAAATCATATTTATGTTTCATAAGTTTCACTTCTTTCTAATTTTAAGTTTGCAAATTTGAATTGCTTATATCTTATTGGTGTTGATAAAAATGTGTAATTTTGAAAAAAAGAAAACAAAAGTATAATTGTTGAAAAAGATGAAGTTTGAGTTTTTTTAATAAAAAAAAAGAATATGATAGATTTGTGAATTTGATGATAGTTTGGGATAAAATAAGCTAATAATCCTTCCTTTATTATAGCTAAAGTTTTTCCTCAAGATTGAATGATCTGCTGTCGGCTCATGCAAAAGTGGAAAAAGATCCACAACTAAAGCAGTGGGTAATGACGATGATGATGATGAGTGTACCCAAAAGGTATTGCAAGAACTCACATTTATGGGCATTTCTCCTATTAGAAACCCACTGCTTTCTTCAATGTTTCTGAGATTAACAACCTCACCTCCGGCTACCATATTGATCACAATTCCATCTGTATAATTTCACCAAATGCAAATGACAACAGAATAAAGCATATATAGTTATATACCCAAACAACTATAGCCAATACTGCCTTTACAAACATTACTAGGAATAATGAATGAGGAGATTGTACAGATGTACAGCACCTGCTGCCAAACAAGTAGCCATGCGCCGCATATATGTTTCCTGCAAAAAAAAGACTTTTTTCAGTATGTCAGTATATGTTTCTTTCTGTTTTTCACTAAAATTGATTTTAATTTCAACGAAAAATTAAAAACTGATAAGAATGAAGAAATACCATGCGGTAGAGTGCTAGAAGTCTTTTAAATGCAATGAAATGCAACTTACCAAAAAAAAAACTCAAGGCTATTGGAGAATTCACTAAAATGAAAGGGGGCATAGGTTAAAAAAGGGGGCAGCCCGGTGCACATTGGTGTCCCCGCAAGGAGAGGGTCTAGGAAAGTGTCCCACCAAAAGGGTGTATAAGGGGCAAGCTTTCCCTTGTCATTTTGACAAGAGGCCACTCCCAAGACTTGAACCTTGGAAACACCGTAACCGGTGTGTCAAGGCTCCACTTCAAACGGGAGATAGGTTAACACACAAAATCTGTCAAGAAACTACCTCAGCTATCAATGTTTTCCTTACCTTTTTTGTTGGTAACTCATTATTAATCAAGAGGCGTGCATTAAAAGGAAACTCTCCGGAGTTCACAAGAGGAAGGCAAGCATCAGTTACAACTATCAGGTGACATTTCTCTTCCTCCTTTTCTCCCCCTTCATCAACAACGGTATGACGATTCCACCTCAGCATGGCCTGCCGGAATTTAGCAAATGTGTGTGCCCTCTCTGCTTCAGCAAGGTCACTGTACTGCATAAACTAATCTACGTCAGAACTACTCAAGAACTCAAAGAATTTAAAAACAAGCCCTCGTTCCCAACTTAATACAACCAATTCAACATCAATGCATATTTTCTGATCAAATTAACACCTTTCTTTGTTACTCTCATTCTAGTATGTGAGAATTGAGAATAAATATGAGGTATTGGACTCAACATCTAAGGGGTCGGAATAAGGAAAATAGATAATCCAAGAAGATGTGGTGGCATTTCCATAATTAAACACAACTTCCTACCACCAAAAAGTGCATAACTTGTGACGAATAAACTACAAACATGATGAATCAAAAGTAGAGTCATCAAACTAATCCCCCTAGTTTGGGGATTTCTTGAGGTGAGGAAACGGGGAATGTCTTAATTTCACTCCATTTCCCTCTTCCCTCTCATCCATCTAAAGCAGATAGGTAACACAAAAACACCCCCTCTCCCATCCCCACCCTGTCCTCCCCTCCCTTGAACCAATCGTACCCACGGAGTAAAAGTGGTTTAGTTCAAAAGCCAGAAACACCAACCTTTGCCTTTGTGACACTAACTCATAGTTTTTTATACAACGTAAAGGACTAACTCATAGTACATAGCTTTATAGTTGAACTTTCCCTCACATTCAAACTCTCCAACTTCTAAGTCTTCTTAGCAGATTCTATAGTTGAACTATAGAAAACCACTTAGCAGATTCAACCAAATGCACTGCAGTGCCTGGCACTGTGGCACAAGGTACTTAAACAATAAAGTCGTACGAAAAGATTTGTATAAAGACATATACCAGTGCGAAGATAGAAATGTGTGAAAGGGTGGATAGGGCGGAGTAAACAGCATCTAGCTCGTCCCTGGTGCTGCAGCAAACCACCACCGGAAGACTTGGAAGGCGGCCAGCCATTCCCATTAGATCCACCACGGTATCCTATTCAAGTATTCATCAACAAAAAACCAAATAAATAAATCTTAAAATCATATGAATTACAAAAGCTCCTATAGAAGAAAGGCGTGGGAGAGAAAGACCATCTTGAACTTGATCCTCTCAATAGCAAGATAGAAATGGCGCTGTTGGCTGCGTGACAATATAATAATAATGAATTTATTTAAACATACTACGTAATATAATTGGATTCCCTAAAAATGGAAATCAGTAAGTGCGATATGAAATATCTTTGGAATTCGCAGTGCCTGAAACTGGATTTAGATGGAGAAGTGGACAAAGAAGCTTCGGTGGCGTCCATTTCCTTTGACGAGAAAATAAAAAACTTTTCTTTTAGCCCTTTCCCTCAGTCAGATAGCTTCAACCTGCAAAAATCTGGAAACCTCCGGTTGCTTGTTGGGAAGAGAGAAAGTTCCGGTCCTCGGTTCGAACAGGAACCGAACCGGGGTTCGTGGTTCAGTTCGATTTTTCGGTTCCACGAGTAATTTTTATTTTGGAAAAAGGTGCAAATAGGCCCATGTACTAACCAAAAAAAAGTCAAATAAGCTCTTATTTAGGAGGTTCTGTCTGGCCGTCGTCATTTGGGGTGGTTCCCGGTGAAAGTTTTTGATGAAATTTTTTGAGCATCTTATTCATTAAGTCTAGTTTACTCATACCAAATTTCAGCTAAAACTTCAATCGGGGAGGCATTCAAATGAATTATTGAAGATAATTGCGCTTCTAACTGCACCTTTTTTGGTATTCAAATGAATTCTTGAAGACAAATTTCAAATGAATTCTTGAAGACAAACTTCAATCGGGAAGGCATTCAAATGAATTCTTGAAGACAAATTTCACCTTTTTTGGTTAGTACATGGGTCTATCTGCACTTTTTCCTTTTTATTTTTTATTTAAAGTTTAAATAATTTTCTAGAAGTAGAGTATTGATAATAATTAATAAATTCCGAATGTAGACTAAAAAAATCGAAAAACGAAAAGTATTAATAATAAGTAATAAATTCCGAATGTAGACTAAAAAAAATCGAAAAAAGAAAAGCTAGAAATGTGATGGAAACCGGATTTAATTAGAAGTAGAGTTCCAAATCGGTTGGTTTCAGTTCGATTTTTGGGTTCTAATTTTTATTTATAGTTTAAATAATTTTCTAGAAGAAGAGTATTAATAATAGAGTTTTTTATGTAAATATTACCAATAATATTTGGGTTTACAAAAGAGTGACTAGAAGCCCATAACTACCAATCCACGTACAACAACCTTGGAGTAATTGTAGGGAAACCACCTTATTGTTTTAATCAATAGTCATGTTTTTGTTAGAGAGATTTAAAGAAGTAATATTTGTGTAAATCGGGACGGACACGACCCGCTTCAAACTCGGGAAATGGCCAAAAACGAGGAAATGAAATTGCCGATGGGATTCGAACCAACGTAAACTAAGGCCATCTCCAACAGTTTACACTATTTTTTACACTAAAATGGTGTAAACATTACATCAAACAGTATTTTATCTCCAACAGTTTACACCATTTTCATCACCAAAAAGGAATATTCTCTTTTTATTCTTTTTACTAAATTTTTACCATTCTTCTATTTAAGTATCTAATTATCATATATTTATACATTAGCCCCTCATTTAATAATTTTAAGGATGTTTTTACTTGGACTGTAATTTGTCTCAGATCAGATCAGACCGGATTAGACTAGACTTGGCTGGTTATAAAAATACAAAGAAATCAGACCAGACCACATCAGTTCAGACCAGACCAAATCAGATCAAACCAGAGTAGACCAACAAATTTCAGTCCAAGTAAAAACGTACTAATTTGTTATTTTAAAAATGGGTCAAAACTATAACAATCAAAACTTTGGGTCACATTTGACATAAAAAAATTAAAAAAAGAGGATGGTGTGAGATATGGTGTATGCCATATTTGGTGTAAAGCAAAAGCCTCTCCCCCAAAATGGTGTAATTTATTATATTAATGACATTATTATATTACTAAGTACTTAGACAATGATGTGTTATTTATGACATCCACACCTAATTTTGATAATGTTAACATTACTTATAACTTATGACATCGAACACTTCAAAAAAAACTCATGACATCACACTGTATGTCTTATATTGTGTCAACTATCGATCTTCATAAAATTGATGATAAACAATGGAAAAGTAATACCCACAATTAACTACAGTACGAAATTGAAAAGTAAAAAAACAAATAACAAAACTTGCGAAGAGAACCCAGTCATAACAGAGAACTAATGCAATAAATTAAAAGATTAACAATTTGAAAATGAAATTAAATAAAACCAAAAGGAAGAAGAAACACTATACTGCAAGAAATTTGACGGAAACGAAATCGAAAGCAAGAAGTTTGAAAAGGAATCGACTAGCAAAATCAATGGGAACAAAATTCTATGCCGGCAAAAATTGAAGAATAGCGGCAGTCAATTCATTTCCATTTTTAAGCAGCTGGTCTGCCGCTGGTTTTTGCCGGAGCAGTTTTGCCGGACGTTGTTCTTCTTGAGACGAACAAGAAGTCGGGATTCGATCCTTGAACAAAGGGTAGAAGAATGCCAATTAGAACCAGTGAGTGTGAGGTGGGGCCGTCTTTATGGAGCATTGACAACGCTTCTAGAGCACTCAAGAAAACCAGGCAAGCGCGTGGCCGAAAGCCGCACAAGGGCGTTAACGAATATGTGTGTAAGAATGCCTTGAATATGTGTAGAAGAATGCCAATTAGCACCAGTGAGCTAGTGCATATGTGTGTAATATAAGTTCATTCATAGCATAGTTTATCATCTTCCATTTACTGCTACGATTAATCTAGAAATTGTATCATGTAGCATATATAAGTGCAGATTCAAGAGTTTAAGTGCATATGTAGGTAATAGAATAGCATAAGGTGAGGATTAAATGTGCATATGCGGAATGTAATATAAGTCTTTGATGGTGGGACGATGATGTGTAACAAACTGTGTACATGTATAAATGGAAGTCCACACTCGAGAAGAAGACAAAGTAGCGTGAAATAAGATAAAAATGAAAAACCAAATAAAACTTACCTTAATGATGCAATACAAAATCGTGTCTAATGGCTGATTGGAATTAAATGAAAAGGACAAAATTCCAAAAATACTTCATAAATTGGTTAGCAAAAAAGCACCTATCAAATGTACTCTTCTTTCAGCCAACGGCTGCGATGGGTTCCTATTTTTCATGTGAAGGAGCCTTTTTATTTGATCCTCATTCTATATATATATATATATATATATATATATATATATATATATAATGTGAATGTTAGAATTAAATGTGTGTGACATTTCATAAATTTAAAATGGTGGAATTGAAGATTGAGCCAATATATGAAATCCAAATGTGAGGCTGGAATACCTTAAGTTATTGAGATATTTGAGAGGTACCATTGATTGTGGTTGAGATTATCCGTTGTAAAATACTGATACAACGATGATATGTTTATTGAGAAATATCCATTGTATTAGAGCAGTACAATGATATTACGAAGTATATGAGAATTACCAATCAGACTATAATGATACAATGGAGTTGACAACAAATAGGGATGTGAACCCAACTTGTGTGATTGGAGATCCCATGAAACAGATTCAAATGGGTAATAACAAGTCTTTTATTTGTTTTGTTAGCCTTGTAAAGTGTCCATTTCTATGGTGTGGAAGGCTAGACTGCGTTTCTTTGTGAAGTTGAACTAAAGCTCTTAACGATTGTCATAGCCTTTATGGGTGGTGTGTTAAGTGCGGGACACACTTGATGAGGTCACTTATATGAGTGTGAGGTGAGGCCGTCTTTATGGAGCATTGACAATGCTTCTAGAGCACTCAAGAAAACCAGGCAAGCGCATGGCCGAAAGGCGCACAACGGCATTAACGACGAGAAAGGTGGGGGTGAAAAATGATCCCCTAAGACACTGACTTACGAAAGTAGATTAATGGTTCATAGAAACTATATGTTTCATCAATAAACTTGGTATTTATAGACTTAGGCGTCTAGGTCTGGTTCAAATGTACGAACACCAGATTGAAAAACATCACTCCATATATCAACCCAATAAGGAATTATTATTTTTAATAATAATTAGAATATTCATTTGAAATGTGTGGGGGATTGTTGGAAATTTTGGAGTAAAGGGTCAGTTTGGTCCTCGAAGTTGCATAAAATGGGTCAAATAAGTCCTTATATAGGAGGTTCTATCCGGCCGTCGCCATTTGGGGCGGTTCCTGGTGGATTTTTTTGATGAAATTTTTTGAGTATATTATTCATTAAGTCTAGTTCACTTATACCAAATTTCAGATAAACATTCAATCGGGAAGACATTCAAATGAATTCTTGAAGATAACTGTGCAGCTAAAAGTGCAGTTATCTTCAAGAATTCATTTGAATGCCTTCCCGATTGAATTTTTAGCTGAAATTTGGTATGAGTCAACTAGACTTGATGAGTAAGATGCTAAAAAAAATTATGAAAAAATTCCATCGGGAACCGCCTCAAATGGCAAGTCCGGACAGAATCTTCTATATAAGGACTTATTTGACACCTTTTATGCAACTTCGAGGACCAAACTGACCCTTTACTCGAAATTTTGTGTGATATTTCAAATGAATAATAATTAGAATATTCATTTAATTCATTATGTAAATGAATTTAATTCATTAATTGTATTTTACAAAACGTAATGAAACCGGTGCATTTCTTCTTTAATACAAAACATTGAAGTTACTATTATTAATTTTGTTTCCTAAACGTTACACTACTAGTGCCTTAGTGAGAGATATTAATACTATTAATTACTACGGAGTATTAAAGTATGCTAAATTGGTTTGCTAGCTTTTGGATGTCCTCATGATACGTGTATATATATATAGTATGGTGCAAGCATGCTTTTTAGGGTGAAAATACAATGAATGGGCTGTGCACAACATAAAACCTATGTATTGGTTATATTTCTTTTGATGCTTTCTGCCGTGAGATTTGAAGGATATGAACAACATAATACGTGTTCCTTTGGAAATCATTTCACATCTACAAACTGGTTATTATTGTAGGGAAAATTAAATTTTCCCTACAATAATAACCAGTTTGTAGATGTGAAATGATTTCCAAAGGAACACGTATTATGTTGTTCATATCCTTCAACATCTACAAACTGGTTATTGTTGTAGGGAAAATTAATTTTCCCAACAACAAATTAATATTGTTCGTATAGTTTCATTATCAAAAGCTCTATAAATAGGGAGGTATTAGGGTTACAAATACGGGCCAATGGGCCCACACTACATAGAATTTCCTTCAACACTCCCCTTTGTGCTGAGTTGTAGATAGACTTTGGTATCTGTCTTGTTGTCTCGCCAAAACTTCTGTCAAGTAACAAAAACCCTGTGGGAAAA